TTTTGGCCTACACCCCCCCCCCCCAACTATACATGCTAGCTACGGCCCTGGATACAGACTTGCCGACTGGAACTTCTCCAGGTCCCCCGCTAATTATGTCCTCTCCAGTTGCACATCCTTAAAAAAGGCCCTGAACCAAATGTTATACCTCATAGCAATATGTATTATGAGCAATGCATGAAGCTAGAAAACTCAACGCTAACTATAATTAAAGAATCTAAATAGTATAAGCTATTGAAAAAAAAAATGCTGCGAAAGAAAGTGTGGAAAAAAAAATCGTACATGGTGATGGGATAAAAAAAATCTTGCACATAACGATCCCAGAAAATTCCCTGCCAGCAGTAAATCCCCCCCCCTCAAAAGTTAAATGGTCGGCCCCTAATCGAGTCCAGTCCATGTTTTACTACATGCCCTCTTATACACTAAAGTTGATGTTATTAAAATTACAATTTACAAAAAAACAGACAAGGAACTACATTTAGGCATGTTTTACTAATCGAGTCCATGTTTTACTAATCGAGTCCATGTTTTACTAATCGAGTCCATGTTTTACTAATCGAGTCCATATTTTACTAATAGAGTCCATGTTTTACTAATGGAGTCCATGTTTTACTAATAGAGTCCATGTTTTACTAATCGGGTCCATGTTTTACTAATCGATTCCATGTTTTACTAATCGAGTCCATGTTTTACTAATAGAGTCCATGTTTTACTAATCGAGTCCATGTTTTACTAATCGAGTCCATGTTTTACTAATCGAGTCCATGTTTTACTAATCGAGTCCATGTTTTACTAATCGAGTCCATATTTTACTAATAGAGTCCATGTTTTACTAATCGAGTCCATGTTTTACTAATAGAGTCCATGTTTTACTAATCGGGTCCATGTTTTACTAATCGATTCCATGTTTTACTAATCGAGTCCATGTTTTACTAATAGAGTCCATGTTTTACTAATGGAGTCCATGTTTTACTAATAGAGTCCATGTTTTACTAATCGGGTCCAGTCCATGTTTTACTAATGAGTCCAGTCCATGTTTTACTACATGCCATAAAAACAGCACCTGAAGGCCAGCTAATTGCTTACATTACATGCACGTTACAGTACCATAGAGACCCTCTTGTCTAAAAATCTATAAAGTTTAATTAAAGTTAATTTTGGTCAAACTTAACCATGATTATGTGATATTTGATATAATACGGACACGGCTCTTTTTACCAGTTTATGAGTTGCAAATAACCTAGAACGTCAAAATCTTTGTACTATCATGGCTAGGAAAAGGGTCTCATCGGAGATTGTATATTGTATTATTTTAGTTGTTCCTCAGCTGTTGGTTACCAAAGATCAAGACAGTTTGTTTCACTTGCACGAGGATGTATGCGTCATGGAATCATCGTTCACGAAATCGGTTTGTAAAAATGTGCATTTATTTAGTGACTAAATACGATCAATTAAGTCAAATTATTATTTATTTAAAAAATCCTAACTGTAGCTAGTAGCTTTCGGTCGATTCGTCATAACTGACCAAATGTGAAATTGTGACATATTGTGACCAACACTCTGATGTCATACCGTTGGTTGGAAAGCATATAAATTGACACTTGACGTAATGATGTGGACATCAGTAGTGAATATGTGAGTACTAAATTAATGTGGAAACGTGTACGATCGCAAAACATTTTCAAAAGTAGTTCGGACACCATTGGTTTTAGGATATCAGTGTTAGTAATTACAAACAATAATACCACCCCTCCCCTTTGTTTTTCCAATCCATGCACTATTGTACGCGAAAACAAAATGCTAACTACAATTCAACATTGAATATGGGGCGAGGGGTAGCGTTTGAGAAAATGATGAGTATTTCGAGCATCTGTCCCAACGCATTTGAAAATGATTGTACCTTCCTCCAACATTCCTCGTCAACGTTTTTTTGAAAATTAGTAAGAAAACAATCAAGCTGATTTGATGGTAAAGCTACAAAGGCATGCAGTCACGTGGAAAAAAAATGACCGTTCAAATAAACACAACAACCAAAGGACAAAGCGACATGTAAAAATCCGTGCAAGCTATGAGAAAAGCAGAATCTTTATTTCTATCATAACCTACTATTTCTCTGTGAAGAAAGAATGGTATTTTTATCTATCGCAGATTTGCGTGATCATTAATTACAATCAAGAGTTCTTCATCTTCACCAAAGTTGATGCTCACCCCCCCCCCTGGCTTGCCCTGTGATCTTACGACGCATAATTGCTTTACTTATTAACGATGCTAAGCAACTGCGTGATTACTTCCCCAAACTTACTGTTCTTTTTCTCTCAATATTTTCTTTCAAATTTTTTAGGCCACGCTTTGGGATTCTGGCACGAACAATCTCGCTCGGATCGTGATTATTATATATCAATACATTGGCAAAATATCCAACGCAGTAAGGTTTTATAATATACTATCACAGACAATTAAATGAATGATCTGGAAACGCAGGCAAAAGCGCTAATGTTGCTGACGCCACATCCTTGATTCTGCCTGATACGCTTTAGTTTGCATGGAACCCTATAACTTCACTTTAAATATATTTCAGGACTTTGTATTAATACATATTTGCTGAGTACGGCAATGTCAAGTATCAATTTTCCGTGCGTAACAAAAATATACAAAATTTGCAAATTTGCATGGTTATTTCTAGAACCACTGCATGAGTATTTTAATAAAATACAAAACAAGTGAAACTCCAAAAATCGATAACATTTTTATTTATCTACGTTTCGACTATATTTCAGTCATCATCAGGATAATGTTTTCTGTGTTTATCCTGATGATGACTGAAATATAGTCGAAACGTAGATAAATAAAAATGTTATCGATTTTTGGAATTTTACTTGTTTTGTATTTTGACATGGTTATATTTTTTACATTTTACAACCAAACTTTTTTATTTGACTAGCTTTAGGAATTGGGATGCTCTTCAATGCTGTTGTAATAAATTTTGGTTTTTGCCTTGCAAATTTGTCATGTTTTTGTCCATTACGCAATCGGTTCAACCACTTCACTGTTTTGGTTCAATTTTGGTTTTCTGCACGTCTCAGAAAATAAAACTTCTGGAAGACATTTCTATGGACATTTAAAATATGTCCAAGTGTGTAAAACAGCTGTTGGTAAGTTTGCCTTGGATTTTGGGTTAGCTCAGGATTAGGCTTACCATGCAGCTTTCGAGCAGCTGGCTCCTGTTCTGTGGCGCACATTAGCTAACAGAAATATATCGCCTACCAATTACAATGCAGATGAGAAAAGACAGTTGTGAAAGAAGCAATAATATGTAATTTGAAATGTTATTTTATTCTTGAACTCGATCATGTATTTTTCCTAATAAATGATGATGCATTATAATTTTTTAATGTTCTTCGTATTGTGATGTATTTTCATTTTTACGTACCGACACAGACAAACATGTCTTCAAATTTGTTTACCTTTTAGATATGCAATATAATTTCAACAAAATGAGCGGTCGAACGGACGACACATCGCATGGGTATGATTACGGAAGTATAATGCACTATGGGCCTAAGGCATTCTCAGTTAATGGAAGGAATACAATAACTGCAAAAAATGGTCAAGCTATTGGACAAAGACAAGGATTGAGTGCCGGTGATGTTCAACAAGCGAAGACAATGTATACTGCATGTCGAGGTATATCAACTGGATGAGGAGGAGGAGACACAGGTATTGTAAGATGTATATAGTTACAGGGTGCATGCATGTATCCGAAAAAAAATAAACAAATATATTTAAAATTATAATAGTTCTGTTTGTGGAAACACCACGTAAATTTATTACTGCAAGGCTATAAGTCATAAGTTATAGTCATAAGTTCTCTCGCAAAATGAGAGAGTCAATTGAAATCGAGAAGCACAATACTAGATCATGCAGGAGGGAAAGCCACTAGATAGTACGTGGCGTGCTCTCTTTAAGGTGGCTCGATACAGTTTTCAAAAATTCAGGTGTTTAACACTTTGACAATTTCAAACTACGCATTTTTAGGATTTATTCAGCAGATATTGGGTTTTTTATTTGTTTTGATAACTCTACTTTCAAATTATATTCGTTTTAGTAACAGATAGTTCGTTGCTATGACGACATACGTGTACGAAATTCACTCCAAAATGGCCTATCTTCTCGTATAGTTGGAAAAATAGCATGGTGACCCCCAATTTTTTTTCGTGCATTATTTTACTTGGACGAAAAGCTAACAATTAGCATGCCATTTTTTTGGAAAATGCGAAAATGTCATATTCTTCGGTAACATTTTTTTGGCATTACAGAATTGTTTTATTTTTTGTATAATGAAAGTTTTTAGCGGTGCAATACAGCATGCAAAACTTGAACATAGGTCACCAGACAAAATAAGGAGATATATCGCATTGCTTTTCTAAAATGGAAAATTCTAATGATGTCAGCAATTGACATAAAACGCAAAAAGTTGATCTCGCGATATTTTGCACTGAATGGAAATCGGCCTGAATGTTTCTAAGGCATGCAACATGTACGCACTGCGTACCTATTTTTAACGTTGTTTCTACTGAATAAGTTGTCGGTAGCTTTTTTATTATCATTATCAAACATGAACTAAACAACAATAAATAAAACGAACGAAATTTCACTTTAATATCATGTTACAATTTAATATACAGTTTGGACGTCGTATAAAAGAACTTTAATAGCACTACAGCAGAGTAGAGCCTAGACTTTAAACTGGAGAACTTAAGACCTGACTCCTAGACTTTTACATCAAATAATCACACATTTTTTTCCAACACATTGTAATCTTGCAGCCTTTTTCATCAGCACATCTTATTGTCTAAAACACAAACATTCGTAGAAACCATGAGTAAAAATATACAATATCCAAATCTATATTATACGCAGTGTTATTATAATTATAGTATACAATAACTATAACACTCTCGAAGTTTTGGATCAAATAAATTGAGTTTGAAGTTTTTGTTTTAAAATATTAGATTTTCCAAATTTTTCGGTTAAAACTGCTGACGACATTTTCACTGCAAAAGATTTTTGAAAGTGCGAAAGCAATACATATGATCAGCTTTTGCTCAATGTTCGATAAAAGAAACATCGACCTTCGATCGAGTACCCCAGATTACAAGTTAGATAGTGGGCAAGAATAAATCTCAAATTATTTTATTTCAACGAATATCGAACATAATACTTCTCGCCTAGCATCCGAAGAAGAACTACGGTGTTGGCAGAATTTTAACCTATAAAGCGCCAATCATATTCTCAAATAACTAGTTTCGTGCTGCACAGAACTATGTAATAAATATGCTCTGAAAACATATTAAAAATGCTTCAATACCTATGAAACTTTAGCAATACATCGACAGAACTAATGCAAATGACAGCCGGTCAAAACACTTCGCATTGTGTACATCATTCAAAATATGTGACCGGCAAAAGTGGGAAAAACAGGGCCTGAAAAAGGGTCTTAGGGTCTGTTTCAGCCACGATATCTTCTAAGAATCAACTTCGATTTTTATGAAAGACACAAGTTAATACACATAAAACAATGAACTCTAACATACCTTAGTTCGTAGGTGTTGGCAGTTGATTCACACAAGATATCCTCATTTGAAATTTTAATTAGTCTCCATGGAAGTCATAAAAAGGCACGGACATTATAGACCTTAAATTCTTATGTACAAGCTATTTTACCATTACAGAACACAGACCCATTTTGCCATTTAAACCATTCTAACACCAAAAAGATTGAGAAAAATGGCCAGACGAACTGAACAACTCAAAATCGCGGGTTTTTTCAATTTCCTTCAAAATCGTACTCGCCCCAGTTTTTTCCGCATCACACGTCGATCAGCGCGCGCTCTCTCGTTGCGCCGCCCTATATATAAGCGCCCTGGTCAAACTATAGGGAAAACACAGTTCGAAATGCAAAAAGTGACATTTTTAAGGAACAAACGCTTTCGAGCTTCATATCTGGACAAAATTTGTCAACAATAACAGTAAGTGATCTTTTCTATTCACATAAGAAGTACGGTCGAGCTTTTGAAAAACTTTTATTTGATTTTGAAAGTTGAAAGAGCGATCTGCCCACAGATTGTGATATCCTATAAAGCGAAAATAACTATTTTCCGGGAATATATTTCAGTGGCAAGACTCTCTGCTTGGCAAGTTGAGTTTGTACTTAATGGGTTGATATCCTGACAATCAAAATACACAATTTAAATCAGATCAACACACGTATCGAACTCTCAAACACTGAGACATATTGGTCGAGACTTGTTTTTTGCTAGTTTTTTCTCGTTGAAAAAAGTGAATTATGTTCTTACCTAAACATTATACAATACGAAATATACTGGAATGTCAATTCTGAACAACTTCTGAGCTTTTCTGCCGCAAAAACGACACAATTGGAGTATAGAACATCGTGTAGAACAACTTTTTTGTATCTCTTTTTGACTTGTCAACACAAGTTTCGAACTTCACTCCTTCGAGTATAATTTTCCCTTTTCGCAGCGTTCGAGTAGTGTTTATAGCCCCATTTGTTGTTAAAAATGTCCAGTCTAACCCATTTTCTTGAAATTAAAACGAAACAGCAAATCACCTGGATAGTTTCGTTAAAATCGCTGTTTTTATGTCAAAAATTCGGATTTCCCCATCTATTTCCTTATAAAAAAATTTCACCGTACTGGCTGGGAAGTTACGCATGCGCAATATGGCCAATCGTGCGTGTGACTTGTTTTGGCTTGAGTGAACTCTCTGCATATACTTCCTCTGTGGTGTAAATTAAACAAGTCACATATTATTAGCACTGACGAAGATCCGGGCTTACCGATCGAAAGCTTTGCAGTAATAAATTTACGTGGTGTTTCCACAAACAAAACTATTATATGTTTTATCGCCATGCACACATACAAAGAAATTTAAAATTGCTCTGAACTTCGCGAAGCGACTCTTTTTATTAATATAGTGGGTACAATTTTAAAATTCTTTTTTACTTTCAAAACACTAATAAAGTATCAATTTCCTTTGAATTTTCTTCATTTTCTTCTTCATTTATTGATGTGTTTAGAAATTGTGACTTGTTACGCATTGTTACATTGCTGTACAGATTTTTGAAATGCTGTTTGTGATAAATTGCACTGCCGGAACCTAAACTAATCACATTAGAGTATCATTTCAATGACTGTATATTCACGTATATACCAATAATTTTTCGAGAAAGTTTTTCATAGAACATTATTTTCAAAAAAGATCTCAAGCAATCATTATTTCTATACTTTTAAATATATGCTAGATACTTTCTTACTTCCTGACTCGTATATATTATAAACTAAAAAACCCCGTATATATTATAAACTTTAGGCTACATTTACACGCTGCAGTTTTTCCACTTCGCGATTCGTAATCAGGTGTATGTGTTTGATTAATCACACGTAGAGTGGCTGCCTTTCAAATTTTGTCATAAACGACAAAATGAGAGAAATTGTGACATCAGCAGTAATTTTCACACGCCAGAATACGAATCCATTACCAGAAAATTCAGACATGGTTGCCCTCACTTTTTGAAGGCGAGAAATTCTAACTTTTTTACGTCTCTGCTATTCAAATTATAATAACTATCACGGCAACATATTGACATGTACAGTTAATTTATTCACAAAGTGAGGGCAACCATATCTGAAATTTCTGGTAATGCGGTAAAGGACAATATTCGTACCATGTGAAAGCACACTAAGCTGCGCAGGCCGTTGTGCATGGCGTTGTACATTATTACAGTGTATTATAAGCAGCAAAAGTTACATTAATTTCCGACGAAGGACCTTTGCTCGAAACGTCAAATCTTTCTGTATCGTTTAGGTAGTGAGTAGAACTCTTGCTGCTTGTTAATGTTGTTATCCGCTACCTACACTGGCAAAATATTGAAGTTTGTCGTACATATATAATTTGTGTAGACACAACAGCGCTTTAGTCCATCTTCAGATTATAGCATCTGCATCAATAGTCAGAATAGTTTGTCTACAAAGTTGAGACCAGAATAAGGAACAAAATAAAATAACGAGCGAGGAACGTTGCCGTTGGCAAGCTAAATCTGTATATCAATTTCGTTTTAAACAAATATATAGTAATGATTGAACGTGTCCCAAAGGTTTTTTCGTTTTTCTCGTTTCCATTCCAGCATGTTTATCCGATAAGGATGAAAACTGTAGAGCCTGGGCCTCAGAAGGGTATTGTCGTCATTCTAATGTACACTATATGATGCAAAATTGTAAGAAGTCTTGTTGTTCTGGTAATGTCACGGATGGCAACCAACGATGCCAAGAATGGGCAAATCGTCGTGAACCGTAAAAACAAAGACATGAAAATTTGTTTTTAGCACAAGCATGCAGTTATGAAGCCATGACTATAAGCGAGATGAAATTGCATTAACCTGGCAACAATTCAGATAATTTGTTACCTTAACTTATTTTGTAATTAATGGCAGGCACGGCAAGGCAAAATTTGATGTACAGAAAAAGTTAGCCGACTTAGGCACGGCATGTTTATTCTAAATATTGTGGGACATTTAACTTATCTATCGAATTCAAATGCGAGGAAATACTTTTGAAAAGTGCGCATTTAGTTATCTATGCTTTGTCCAGATTTACACCTATATACGCACGGCACTAGACACATTTTGCCCGTATAAAGTGTATCTTGCATGACCATGCAAATTAAAGCAAAACATTTAGCGAACTCAGTCTACGTTGCAAACTTCGAGAACATTAGTTTCACAAGTGTCTAGTTATTTGTTTATCAAGTCAAAATCTCGAAGGTTTTGAACGTTTAACGATTTGCACAAGATCGAAACTGGGTCACGCAGTTCCTGGTCCACTATAGTACGATCGTACTTGTTTACTTATCCACCGTTTAAGCTAAACGCCTTTGATACAACCGGCCCCTGATATTTAGCGTCTATTTTCTGATAATTTACATGAAAGTAGCTAGTGCAAATTAACAAAAACATAAGCAGAGCCTGAAAAGAATCCTGCATGAATATTCAACATGACGGCAGACATTAACAGTGTATAAATTCTTATCTGATGCTGCGTTTTTCTAAACTCTGAATTGAAAAATTCTATGGCAAATTTAACAGCTTAAATACAAGGAGGGTATAAACAATGCTTGAGTGGAGTAGGTGACAGTGCAGGTGTTATCCAAGCATGCGATTTTTTCAATATGAAATTAGTGAGAAAAAAAAGCTCAACACCTGCTTGAATTACATTATTTCAACTATGCCTGAATTGTGCTAAATTTAAAGTTATATTCTTTCCACCTTTATAGGACCTGCTAAATGAAGGCTCCAAGAATCGAAAAACTGTATTCTAACTTTTAAACTTCTTAATAAGAAATAAAAGGAGAGCTTAAAATCAACTTGTGTCGTTTCTTATAGTTGATACATTCTTTCAGCGGCCGCAGGAGAACAATAATTGAGGGGGCACACATTCATATATTCGTGTTCGCAGACCTTAAAAACAATTGATTTCAAGAGAAATTGATAATGCAAAACACGATTATATGAATACACTGTATGTGCTCTCTCTCCCCCAATTATCGATCTTTCGCGTCCCCTCTCTTTTTTGGTCAGGTAACAACAATGTCCTACGATTTCAAAGACGTCACATTCGGAAATTGCACATGAAATATTGCATATCTGCTATAGTTTTCGCTTGTGAACATAACATCAATGATATCTTCATATTGTTAAAAATTAATACCGTTTTTCATATTAAGTGCGCACCGTTGTGTTAATAATAGTCTTCGCTATGGTTTGCGTTTGCTGTCAATGTTAACAATATGCATACTGTTATCATTCTACGCATACACACACACAAACAAGAAACGCTTTTATGTTGGCCTTCAATCGTACCTTTTGAAGTCAAGCCCTAGTGCCGCATGTTTGAATTTGAATGCTTAACTCCCTAATGAGCCCATGATATGCGTAAAACGTTATAGCAGAGAGAGCATTTCAAGTAATATATGAACAACGAGAGCGAGTGTTTCACCGGGATATCCAAACACGAGAAAACAATGTATGAAAACACGAGCGCGAAGCGCGAGTGTTTTCATACATTGTTTTCGCGTGTTTGGATATCCCGGTGAGACACGAGCTCGAGTTGTGTAAATGGCTTCTCAAATGAATCGAGACGTAACAGAATGTTTTCGTTTGCTGATTTGAATAGAATTCTTAACCAAGCATAACGTAATTAGGAATTCTATTCAAGTAATTTTCCATGCGTAATTAAGATATTTCATGAAAACACTAGTAACTTTCATCATAGTTGATAGAATAGATGGTTTGGAAACTCATAGAATAACAATATAACTCATTATCTATGTTAGTCAACGTTTATTCATAAATGTGGTCCTTCACCGTCACGTGTGTATTGTATTTTTGCCAAATCCACCAATAGCAATTTCCAATTTACCTTATTGTTCGAGTCACGACGGATAGGTAACTTTCCTAAAACATTGCTATTGGTTAGTTGGGTAAAAATACAATACACACGTGACGGCGAAGGACCAGATTCATGAATAAACGTTGACTAACATAGATAATGAGTTATATTGTTATTCTAATGAGTTTCCAAACCATCTATTCTATTAACTATGCTTTCATCAAGTATCCAAATGGCATCTTGTGATCAAATAGGTGATTATCATTGGCTGAATTGCTCATGAATTATTAATCAATTTGAGAAATTACAATTGAGCACAGACAGCGTCATGCCAGAAAAACCGACCCTTAGAAGCAAGCGCTAGTAAAGTTTGTTTCAATGTGAAGTCTTGATTGCGAAATCTCCAATATGGAAAGCAAAAATCTTTTATTAATCAAGAAACTGCATAGAAGTGGTCAAATTAGAACAAATTTTAATTAATTTGCAATGCATGCAAAAATTCTTTGCTACAATCCTGGCAAAAATTATGTGGACACCTAACTTTTCTAACGCCCATATTAACATTGAGACGTTCTTTCATGAAATTTGTCGCCCCCTGCCCCCTATTCAATGTTGTTTCTCGCAGTTAAATTTTAAAAGTTTCATTCACCAACATTGAATTGGGAGTAGGAGAGGGAGAAATTTTCTGGGGATTAATTCTGTAGAAATACATCTGTTTGACGCAAGCGGTGTCCACAACAATTTTTGCCAGGATTGTCTGAAATTATCACATATTTCAAACCGTCCGACTTCATGAATTTAAGGCTTGATTCAATGATAAAATTTTAGCAAAAGGGGCAAACAATTATTAAATGACGTTATATTTAGTTTTTTTTCACTTTCCTTTCTATGTTAAGTGTCACCTATCACATTACATGTCAATTAGTGGCTTTTTACGAATTATCTGGATTTATACAATTACAACTTAGTCTGCAACTCTACAAAGGCAAAGCAATATTTTCATATAACAAATTATTGAACATCAAATTATTGAACATCGTAGAGAACGACGATGTCTTAGTACTTACTCAAACCTGAGTGCAAAATTTTCAGCCAAAAAATGCGAGGTTTGTTTACCACATAACTTTCAGCCAAGCAGATCTATCTTTAGTTCCTGAGCGTGAATCAATCCATAGTTAATAGAAATAATAAACATGGTTAGGAAGGCCGGGTCACGTGATCACTAACCTGAAGTTCAGGCCCTAATCACAGAATAGGGCCTGACACAAAACCTATCTAAACTGTGGGATTCCCGTCCACACGTAACAAATTCCATTATCGATTTATTCAGTCGAATTTCTTTTCTTTTCTGCTTTATGGCAGAAAATAAATCAAACAAACAGTATTTTGAAAGGGCTTCATCAAACTGATCTTTGACGAATTTTGGACACACACGACGCTGAAAGAACAGCCAAACCAGTCATGTATTCGAAAGCTTGTTGTTGACAGCCAAGATGTTCTGCCAACTTGCTTCGCCGGCAAAAGTCTTATTTTTAATATCAGGTCCTACCGGCGTTGTTTTCTGAGCTACATCGCCTTCTTCGTGGTATGATTGAGAATTTTAATTGTTGCTGTTGTTAGCCCGTTAGTCGTTTATAGAGCACTGATCCAAGTTGAGA